AATGGGTGGGATAGAGATAAAACAGAACTGGAAAATGTTTATAATTATTAAAGCTGGGTGATGGGTACATGGGGTTAAATACACTAGCTTCACTATTTTTGCTTGTATTCAAAATTTCCCATAACTAACAAAAAAGGTAAAAAGGAAGTAAAAAGAAGTTCCTGATGAATTATAAATAATTTTATATTGTCTCAGATGCAAAGTATAAAAAGCCTTTTCATATGCATGGAACAGAGTGAGGGGTATTACTATTAGCTCACTTACTATTGATGAGAACCATTTTATTTTTCCTTGCAAGAGATTTCATGTTCTACCCAAAAGGACAAATTAGTTGTATAGGTAGGGCCATAAAAACACGAATATGTCTACTGTCACCTTTACATTGCATTACTTTCTACAGTTTCTAACAGAATGTATAATCTTGGGCACGGGCCCCCACCCCAACACATTTTTCTCTTGGTATTTGAAAAGAAGTGTGCTGAAGTATTGGAAAGCATAATTCATTAGGCAGACTAATTTTATAGAAAAATCTCACATGGTGAGGTGACGCATAAACATGAGTTTACTGACATAAATTTAACCTATTCTGAGTTTTCTATGCCGTCAAATGCCCTGAACACAGCAGGCCCTTACAGGTTTATTTCGAAGAGGAGCAGGGAGTTATACTCAACATCTCTTGAATATGCTTCAAGAAACAACGCCAACCTTAGAGTTGAAATAAGAATTAAAAAAATCAACAATTACCATTTAACGAGCTCTTACAATGTGACAGGCACCATGCCAATGTTTTCACGTAACACTGTCTTTTCAGTCCCACAGGGATGGTGTGGGGGTGTTATCACCACCATTCTTTAGATGAGTGAAGCGTGGCTCAGGAAGGTTAAGAGCCCTCACTCAGTAAACGGGTGGAGCCAGAATTGAAGCCAAGTCTGTCTGATTGCAAAGCCTGTTTGATAGTAATTACACACTCTGTATGATTGCTTTCAAAGCAGAAAACAACATATCTAAGGTTCAGGAACATTGTATTCTGGAAACCTGAGGTTTGAATTTATCCTTTTTAGTGTTTTAAAGATATCACTTCCATAGTTTTGTTATAGTTCAGGGAAAGATGGTATGTTCAGGTCACACAGAGGTGCCCCAAGACTCTCCTCCTGAGTAGCAGAGTGAAGCCATCTTCTTCTCTGATAAGCTGAGCTCTGCTCCACACATTAGGAAAAGGAAGTTTATTAAGTTGTGAGGGAAAAGGGATCTAGGCTGCTCAGACAATGGTAAATCTCAGGCAAACAGTTGAGGGAGACCATCATTTGATATGCAGAAACGATAGAAATATCTTAGTTTTATTAAAGCATTTTTCCAGCTGTTTTTGATAGGATATACTGATGGCACATATTCTACAGCTTGTCATGTGAACATAAAGAAATATGTTTGAATATCTTTAAAATATTTCAAATTTTTATTAAATATTTTTATTGTTTTAAGATCACAGTTAAAGTACTTTAGCATGTTATACACATGACTTACATGTGCAATTTTTAGAAATATCAAATTAGGTATAAGATTGTGAAGAAAGAAATTATATAAACGTGTATATTGACTTTTACTACACATACATCTAAGAAAGCAATAATTCTGTTGTACCAATAAGTGGAAATCATTTATTACATGGCATGTTTACACCAACTCTAAAGAGAACCAAGCCAATTTCTGAAAGGAAAAAAAAAAAAAAAAAAAGAGCGATTCCATCATGCTGAAACTGTCAACGGACTTAAGACCTGGTGGTTGGTGAGGCTGTGGTGAGTTCATGACGTGTACGTAAGCAACTCAGACCTATGTGAGAAGTTCATAATCTGGTATGTGGAATCTCAGGTGGTTTTTATTTTATTTTTTGACAAATTCCTGAGAGCAAGAGACTTGGTTAGTGCTAATGAAATGAGAAAAACGCTGCTGAATGTCTGCTGAGCGCAGTGCTGAGCTCCAGATGGTGCGTTTCCTACCCTCCCTTCTGCTGTTCAGAGCCCAGGTACTGATAGGACTGTGTCAGCGGACAGGAGGGCCCCTGTAGGGGCCGCGAGGTGAGAGCAGTGTTACTCAGGAGCCATGTGTGCTGGGTGACTTAGGTGACAGCTTGTGAGGTAAGATTTGCATTGTGAGTGGAGGGCTTGGAGGCATTGAATTAGGTCCTTGTTACTCAGTAACCAGTTCTGGCCCAAGCTATTAAGAAGTCTCTGGAAGGAGTAGTAATGTTTGTAATAACTAGTTCTGTGCATAAAAATCAATTTGAGGGAAGGATCAATAAAAGTGGTCATAGAACTTGTAAGTACAAAGTTTCCTGCTCACAAATAAAATTTGGCCAGAAGAGAAAACTTTTTTTTTTAAAAAAGAAAATGTACATTTCTATTTTTGAAGAAAAGGGTAGCACAGACAGATGGGGAAGTCTGAGGGGAATCAAATATATTTGCCTTGTTATTCACTCTTTTGTTGCTTCTCTATTCTGAAATGTAACGAAGTAATGTCCCCAGTGAAAACGACAAAGTCATTTAATATGGAATATAATAACTTAGCTAGCGCTTCCAAGCTAAAGCAAAGCAGTCCATCAAACCCCAAATACTTCACCAGACATCTCGTAAGATGAACTGAACAACTGCTGCTTTTTTAGTAAGTATGATGTTAGTCTAAATAAGATTATTTTTTAAAAAAATCCCCACACTCATATAAAAACAATCCAAATCCAATTCTTTTACTGTATAATGAAAGAAACATCTACTTAACAACCAGTACACTTTTTATAAGGTGTGAAACCAGGTCGTGCAGGAGGGGAGCTAAACTTTAATTTCCACCTGGCAGTCACTCTGAATACTTTGTAGGTCAAATGTAATAACAGCATTTGCTTCTACAGCCCATTTTCAGCAATACATTGTTCTCTCTGGAGAAGGTGGTTCCTGAAGTCAAAACACTGCAGTGGAGAACAGTGGCACTGAAGGTAGAGGCAAAAAAACACAAACCTTTGAAACAGGACTTACTGAAATGAATTTCCAAGCCAAGGTAGCCCATTAAGATTGGCCTTACATGAGGGGTCTGTGGAGCAGTGAAAACACAGGTTGCCCTACTCAACGGCATCATGTACACCCCAACTTTCCCTTACAAAATGACGACTCCAGGCCACCCACATGTTCCTCCTCTTCCCAGTGAAGTGGTGACACATCTCCTCTGCTGGACTGATGCAGCCCCCAGCCTCACTGCTGGTCTTCAGAACACTGAGGATTCATACAGTAGTTTATCAGGCAGCATGGTCCCACTGCTTCACATTAATGCCCAACTTGGAACAGAGCTATTTGCGATTCCCTCTCTCCCCGCTTATCAACAAAAGCATGTCATTCCGTTTTCAGTTTACTCCTGTAACAATTTATAATTTCCTTAAGATTTTCCATAGGTGCAAACATTTCTATACGCTGAGCCAAAGACTGTGGAGTGCCAAGGAAATTTTATATGCCTTCGGCAGAGTAACATCTGACTTAAGAAAATGATGAGATTGAACATGTTAGATTCTAAATGTCACACCAGTTCAGACACTCCTTTTTGTTCATAGTGTTCCACCACTTTCCCCACCAGTTTTAATGGCAGGAACAAGAATAAGTGATAACTGGGAAATTATTTCAGCATGGCTTGGGGACATGGCATTGGTAGAAAGCTCATGGGACAGAATTAAATAAGTGTATTTCTCAAGTCAGAGCACATTTGTGGGGAAAAGACTGTCAGAATTACAATAGTATGATTTATCTTTTAGAAAGGGTTTTAATGAAGTTAACAGTTTTGATCTGAAATCTGTGAAAAAAACCTAATTTGGAGACAAGAATTTGTATTTCCAATGTGGCTGTGGGACATTTTTCCTTTTTCCCAATCTCATCATATACAGTACCCAAACAAATAAAAACTTAAATGATGTCTTACAGTAATTTTTCTTTCACTCAGCTTCTTAGAGCTGAAGCTTCAGTTACTATAATATACTCTACACATTTCAAAATGACATAGGAAATACTCAGAATAACTAAATAAATAAAAGCTAAAGAAAACTGGAGCAGTACGGCGTCTCCATCTGAGACTAAATAATCTACTTCCAGCTTTACAGAGAAGGGCTAGGACAATTTTTTTCAAAAGATTTATATACAGGTTTGAATCCAGAAATTAAGGTTAAAAGCATAAATATTGATAATTTCAACTAAATTCAGAATGGTTTCAGAAAGATATGATACAACAATTTAGAATAAAACAAAGCAGAAGAGCATCATATTTTGGTTTGCTTGAGATATACATAAGGTGCAACAATGCTTTCTCTTGAGGATGCTTGTGGGACATGTTAGTGCAGATGGTGTTTGCTGGCAGATTACACATCATAGCATTATGATTTTTCAAAATAAAAAAAATAAGAGAAATGAAAAGAAAACGATAACTGAGGGGGGAAAATAAAGCACTACATGTTGTTCTGAAATATCTGTGCTAACAAATTTTGTTACCTGAAAATACCAACACCCTGCACCAGCAGATTCAGGGAATGAGAAGCACTATTACTGAAATCAAGACTTCACTCAGAAACGACAAGGCGAGTATCTAAAGAACTATAAAGCTTTGCAGGATTTCTGCTACTCTCAGTGCCTAACCGCTTAAAAATTAAGCATTTCTACAAAAAAGGTTTTTTTTTTTTTAAGTATCTGAAAACAGTCATATCCAGTAGGTTGCCCTCCCACCCACACCCCTGCCTAAGGGAAAAGCTACTGAGGTTTAGGAAAAGCAGATCAAGTAAGATATTAATCACATAGAAAAAAGTAATTTTTTGTTTTGCTTCTTTTTTAAAAAAGGTCCCATGAATATACAGCAATCTCTTAAGGAACTCTAGTGAAATGTCACTGGAGGACTGAAGGGTGCTCTGGCAAAAATAGATCTAACGTTTTCGGTAGAATACCAAGTTAGTTCCATTGTCAAGATGCATGTTCTGCACCACATAATTTTTGTTGTTGGTTTTCTGTGGGTTTTTTTTTTTTTTTGGATTTCAGCTAAGTTTAAATTTTATATCACTGCTAGCAAGTGGTCCAAAAACTCCAACAGCTACCAACACAGGGACCCAGCCATATCAAATATTCACTTTTCGTTTGGAAATTTAGAAAATATTAACAAAATAGCATCAGTGTAAAAATTTCATGCTCAAAATTTGTGATGGGGCTGCTCACCTGATTTATTTCTATGTGAATGGGGTTAAACTTTAACCTCTGATTAACGTTTTACAAATTCCTCCTTCCTCTATTCCCACAGTGAATATGCATTTTTGAGGATACCATCTTAACACTCTGCTGCCCTTTTCACCTGCTTTGAAAAAAACAAATTCTACTTTTTTGTTTTCAATCCTTTAGAACGTTGTACATACTTCCCAGCACCGAAACTGAAGCAATATCTACAACCATGAAAAGCTAAACCTAGTCAGTATTAATAGCGTCATTTTTTTTTTTTTTGTATGGCTATTACGTCAAATTATGATTAGAAAAGAAATCATCATTACAATTCAGTCAAGTATAAATAAGAAAGCTAGATAAAACCATGTAAACTGTCACCATATAGAGATCTAATTCAAAAGCTTCAAACTCGAACTAACACTATCAAAATTCCACCAGTTTGGAAAAAAATCAATAAAAATTATTGCTGGAATCCAATAATTAGAATTTGGTAGTTTGTGCTGTGATGCAAGAGTGGGGAAATACTTTGTGCTATGGAACAAATACCCTGTAAAATCTGAAGCCTCAGACTAATTTTGATGTATCACTTTGCATCTGTTGCTAGGAGACAAGACATTGTGAACGTCAGGTGGTTAAGTCAATATGTTGAATGTTCCAAGCCAGTTAATCCACTTGGCACTGGCATATGTACGGCTGGTTTATGTTCAAAAGCAACAAAGCACAAAAAGGAAACATAGGCTTGCAGGTGGATCTATGACTGGGAGTCCTACTCTGGGCAGGCATTCCTCCCTGATCATGCACCCTATACCTCCTAAGACACAAACTCGAAATGGCTCTAAAAACCTGCAGTGCCAGTTAGGCTGTGCATAGCAAGTGCAACCCGTCCAGTCTGTCTGTGATGGATGGAAAAGGTCTGTATCGCAAAGTCCACACGACGTGAATGTCTTCAGTGTGTTCAGAATAGTGAAATAATACTAAGGTCACTTCTGAATAATATTTTTGTCTTTTTGTTTGTAGGAACAATCCATTGGTCACTTAGACCCCTGTGTAAAAATAAAAGAATCCTCAAGGCATGAAAACATCAGTAATCTGTCATCTGCAGGACTCTTCCCCTGTCTGGGAAAATATTTGCCACAATTTGCCCCAAGCAAATTCTTCTTGGTCACTCAAAGCTAAGAAAAAAATTCAGCTTGTAAGAATTGTAATTTTTTTTCTCTCTCTCTTTTTGCTAGCAAATTACCATTCTGGTGGCAAATATAAAAGTGCAGAATACATGGACCACAAGGCCGAGCATACACCGCTAACAATGGTACACCTGCCTGCCCATGCTGCTTGGGAGTCTCTTGTACAGGCTTTTTAATATTTATTCTACAATATAAATGTAGGTATAACCTATTATATAAACCATCTTAGAACTTAAATCTCCATGTACAAAAAAGACTAGGAATATCTAATAATAACTAGTGCAGTGCGTCAGTTTTTGTTTTTTGTTTTGTTTTGAAAGAATAGCTAGGTAATATACGAAACTAGTTTCACACTCTGGTTGGTAAAAGAGACGCTGGATGAGCTAAAGTAAAGGCAACCTTTTACCAAGTTACCACCTATTACCGTTAAGAGCCTTCAACAGAAAGCAAAGCTCCACAATCATTCTGCTTCTGCTCATTATCAGACAAATAACACTACCCTCAAAGATTCTGGGTTCTGAAAGAACAAACTGGCCCAGGATGCTAACTTCTGTGTCAAGTGAATCTGGGCCATGTAGGGCAACAAGCACTTGTTTGCTGTCTGTATTTTCCACCACATGGACTCGCTAGCATCCCTTGGTAAAGACAAGGATAGGGTAGTAGGTAAAGCACAATGTTTTACAATTAAAGGGCGCTTCACTGGTCAGCGCAGGAAATAAGGACAGGAGCCTGTGGCATTTCTTTTGGCTGTCCGTCATGGGTGAGCGGAGTTGTCCTCTGACCTCTGAAAGACAAGAGGAAGAAAAAAAGAGAAAATCACTTATTTAGAGTATGCTGTTGGAGACAGGAGAGGATGACTGATAACAAATAAAAGCTCTTCAATACCTTCTTTAACAGCTACTCTTCTTTTGTTGTCACTTATGCTGTTTAATTTAAATAAAACTGTTATTGTCTTTAGATCTTTTCTTTTTAAAATATATTTCTCATCTCAATTCCCCTCATACAACGCAACAGATACTCTTTGATTCTAACCAACCACACCTCCATTTTGTAGAGCAGAAACCTGAAGCACTGACATATTTGGGACTACTCTCTAAGGACTAGGCAACTTTCAGTCGGGGCTGTGGTTCCTGGACCACCATCTTCCTTGTGATCCACTGACGTTAAAAATGACGTGTTCTTTCCTTGACTTGCCCAAGGAGAAAACCCCTATGATAACTGATAATCTTGAGGCTCCTTTCTGAAGACATATAATAAACCCAATTTAAAACTTGAGGCCAATCAAAGCGACGGCCTCAGAACAGACAGTAAAGAGACAGACTGTCATTCTAAAAAAATGAATGAAAAGGAAGCAATGAATGAAGAAACAACGAATGCTCCTAACTAAAGAAAAGCCACAGGCATATGGAGAGTGTGTGTATAGGGGAAGAAGGTGAGTACTGACTCTGAGTTTTAGATTGTAAGAAAATCCAGTCTATGTGGGCCAAAATCAACACATATGCAGGGGGCAACTCCAGACAAAAATCCATGGAAATTTCCACCGTTTGGTTTGGAATCATGCCGAACATAGCTGATTTTTGATTCGGCTTTTGTATAATTAGTACGAAAAAAATATGATTCACTTCGTGGTTATGAGAAAACTGTTCAAAATTCTTGGTAATTTCTATAGAGCTTTCTGTTCTCCAAAGACAAGACTGGATACCACCTTGACATTTGCTAACAGGCCTGCACAGCCTGCCAAAGTGCACTCACTGTTCCATCCTACAGTTGTCTGCAGGGCAGAGGTGGCACTGTACTGAAGATATGTGAAGCAGCAGCAGCAATGTTTTTACTGGTTCTACCTTTCAATATGGTATTTTCTTCAGATTAAGGAGAACAAAAGGAGATATTTCAAGATTCAAATAATATTTGCTCTATAACTACATGTAAGTTTTTTTGGTGCACATAAAAGAAAAATAATGTAAATAAATTACAACATTTGGGGGTTTCAGAATCTGAGGATCATTTGCCAGCCCAAGATATTAGGATTTTAGAAAAACAAAACATGTGTAAAAAACCAACCTCTGGATTAATCTGTTGATTCATGTGTGGATGCTTTAAGTACCAAATGTTCAGTCTGGTCAGCTGTTTGTTCAAGAGAGAAGAAATTAAAATCCTATTTTTTACCTTTACGACTGAATATCTAATATTACAAAAGCCAGAAGATTTTTAATAAACATTTAAAAAGAAACACAAAGATGAAAAATATGTGAAAGATGAAAATTACAATCTAAGCAAGAGAGAGAAATCGGCGAGAAAGTCCAAGTTAGTCAATGGAAAAGAGAAAGGGAGCTTGGAGCTCGGGCAGGATGGAGCCAGGTGCCTGCTGATGGTTCTAGTCCCCAGGGAAGGGTCACGTGAGAGCTGTCCAGATTTAATATGATGCGCCAGATGCTTTCTTAGGAAGCATGCCATAGCGAAGAGTAAGGACTCTGGAGTTAGACCTGACTTCAAGTTTTGCCTCACTCACTAGTTGTGTGCTCCTGACTAGTTAATTAACCCCCTAAGCCTCAGTTTCTTCACCATTAAAATGGGACTAAAAACACCCATTTTAGGATTAAATTTAATGAGCTTCCCTGCTTAAAAACTCTTAGTAAATAAATAGCAGGCTCTCAACAAAGGTTTGTTCCAATTCCCTATTTCCTGCATTTTATAAAATTGCCTTTCTATGCTAGGTTTCTGAACCTAATATTAGATTTTTTAGTAACCTCACTGGCCACCCTCTAAATTATAAACCTAGGTGATGCCTAAGCAATACTTACTAATTAATTGGTGTGTAACCCAGGTACAATTACACTAAGCCTACAGGTAGAGAACTGGTTGCTAAGTCTGCTTTAACAGGCAAAGGCTAAAGTTAGAACTAAGACTCCCCAAGGTGATCTGTCTTTGTAGATATTAAGAACACAAACCATTTGTTAGGTTGATAATTAAATTCTAGTAACCAATATTGTTCTTTGTAATGTTGTTGTTGTGTGCCATTGAGTTGATTCCAACTCATAGTGACCCTATAGGACAGAGTAGAACTGCCTCATAGGGTTTCCAAGGAATGGCTAGTGGATTTGAACTGCCAACCTTTTGGTTAGCAGCCTGTCATGGATTGAACTGTGTCCCCCAAAAATATCTGTCAACTTGGCTGGGTCATGATTCCCAGTATTGTATGATTGTATAATCTGATATGATTTCCTTATGTGTTGTAAACTCTATCACTATGATGAAGTTATATGTGATCTCCTTATGTGTTGTAAATTCTATCACTGTGATAAGGTTATACTGATGAGGCTGACAAGATTAGATAGTGTCTTAATGCAATCTCTTTTGAGATATAAAAGAGAGAAGCAAGGAGATACATGAGAACCTCACATCACCAAGAAGGCAGTGCCAGGAGCAGAACACATCCTTTGGACCAGAGGTTCCTGCGCTGAGGTGCTCCCAGACCAAGGGAAGACTTATGCATCACAAGGACCTTCCTCCAGAGCCAACAGAGAGAGAGAGCCTTCTCCTGGAGCTGTGCCCTGAATTTGGACTTGTAGCCTTCAGGACTGTGAGAGAATAAACTTCTCTTTGTTAAAGCCATCCACTTGTGGTATTTCTGCTAGCGTGGCACCAGCTGACTAAGACACAGTCTAAGCTCTTAACCACTTCGTCACCAGGTCTCCATTCTTTCTAATAGGGTGTAAAAAAAGAAGCTTTACTCACACCATCATTCCTATGCCTGCTACCTACCTTAGCAAGAACTACCTCATTTATTCATGCACCTAATTCATTTGTTCATTCACCCATGGATGTAACAGGAGCTAAGGTCGGGGGTGGTGTGAAAAGTAAAACCAGTGGTTTGCTTTTGAGACACTCAAAACACGCTGGGAGGAGACATGAAGCATCAACAAGTGATTTCGACCCAGAGTGGAGCTGCTCTAAGTGAAGCAGTAGAGTGCAGGGGCAGCAGGGAGAGCGTGGGGCATCAGGAGGGGAACACACAGAGGACAAAGCCCAGGGCTGGGAGAGGAGCAGGTGGTCACCAGGGAGGAGACGTACAAAGACAAGAGCTCGCTCATCTGGAAGGGACTCTGTGTGAGTGCAGGGCAGGGAGTGTGGAGGGTTGGGGGAGGTAAGAGCACAAAGGTAAGTGGAGGCTTTCCGCTGCTGGAGGCTGGAGTCAGGGAAGGCTGGCTAACAGCAACGTCATGACTGCAGCTATGTTTAGAAGGGAACTCTGGCAGCAGCAAGGGTGGCTGTGTGGAAGCCTTCTCTGAGCCCTGAATTATGATGCCACCTCAATTCATGTGTTCAGGCATATATTTTTAATTCTTCTTCACATGTGTATGTTTGTCCTCTGTAGCAGACTGTAAATCTCATGAGTGCTAGAGAAGTGTCCTGTGTGTGATCTCCCTCAGACACATTAACAGTGCCTGTCAATATTTATTTGCTGTTAGGAAGCTGCAGTGTACATATGAAAAGGCATCTGACTTACTGAGACTATCTAGAGGCTATTTGTGAGGAAGCACTAGAACTGTAATATGACAGGTAAAGAACAAGAAGCAGACACAGCTTGTGTCAGGGCCTCCTCAAACTGGATGTGGAAAGGAGAATGGGGCCCTGTAGGTAGGCCTACAGATTGTGCTAGGCTTAAAGCTCTTCTGTACTAAAGAAAGTCTAAGAAAGCAGCTCTTCCATGGGAAATACACTGTGAGTAAAGATATAAAATACCTAGATTTACAAAAGATTTTTCCCTTCCTATTAAGTAGCAGGACACCCAATTACACTGAAAACTTCATGTACTTTCTGTGGGCCTCACCGAGTTCAGAGGACTTTCACATCTGTGATTCGTTTGATCCTCACAACATCATAATTCTTTGAGGCTATCATTATGCTCGATGTAAGACGAGAAAACTGAGGTCCACAGAAATAAATTACGTCATATAGCAAGGAGGAGAGAGTCGGAGAAAATTCCAGGCCTTCTTCCGACCATCAATCAGATGCTAAGATGTTCTCTCCCCGGAATCACACCATCTTCTTGCACCCCTACCACTCCCACACCATCCTCAGGGGGCATTTCCCACAGTGTCATGGACTGAATTGTGTCCCCCCAAAAATATGTGTCAACTTGGTTAGACCATGATTCCCAGTATTGTGCAGTTGTCCCCCCATTTTGTGATTTTCCTATATGTTATAAATCATAATCTCTGCCTGTGGTTAAAAGAGGATTAGGGTGGGATGTAACACCCTTGGCTCAGGTCACATTCCTGATCCAATGTAAAGGGAGTTTCCCTGGGATATGCCTTGCACTACCTTTTATCTTACAAGAGATGAAAGGAAAGGGAAGCAAGCAGAGAGTCAGGGACCTCATACCACCAAGAAAGCAGTGCTGAGAACAGAGCGTGTCCTTTGGATGCAGGGTCCCTCTGTGAAGAAGCTCCTAGTCCAGGGGAAGATTAATGACAAGGACCTTCCTCCAGAGCTGACAGAGAAAAGCCTTCCCCTGGAGCTGACACCCTGAATTTGGACTTCTAGCCTACTAGACTGTGAGAGAATAAATTTCTCTTTGTTGAAGCTATCCACTTGTGGTATTTCTGTTATAGCAGCACTAGATGGCTAAGACACACAGGCTACCTATCCCATATAGTAAGTCTATGAGAAGAAGACCATTTACCCCATTTGACAGAAGGAAAACTGAGGGTACAAAGGTTAATGATTTTGCTCAAGATCTCGCAGTCTATAATTAGCAGAGCTAGGACTCAAACTCAGGTCTGACACTGGACTCCAGAGCTCGTGCTTAACCATTAGATCATGCTGTTTTCTCTGTTCTTTCAGGCTGTTTATGAAAATGAAGTTTAGCCACAGCCTAACATATTCAATATAAAATACTCAGCTGGCTCTATTTCCTTTTATTTTCCCACACTGCTAATTAATTAGCACAGACACTTTTCTAACACATAAACAAGTGTACTCTTGAACCAAGTCCCATGAGCACTGTCAAAAATGTCACAAATCATATCAGAAAGGACTATCTGGACTTCCATGCTAATTCTCCTGCATGTACCATGGAAAGGGGTGAAGTTAAACAGGGTCCCCGGGACTCTGGCAGAACGAGGTTTCCACCACTGACCTGTGCACATTTTCCATGGCTGCCACCTCTGCCAGCGCAGCAAGGCTGAAGAACGCAGACACAGCAGGCATGTCTGGAGTGCTGCTCCGTGTCCCCGCCGCCTCGCTGTGGTGTAAGCACTCGTCATTGCAGTCTGTCTCGGCTGTCTTAGGGAGACTCCTCTGCAGTTGTTCCTTTGGTTTGTCATCTGTAACAAAAGAGAAATCCATCAGGAGACGATCACTTTGTTCTCTGCAGAGAAGGCACACAGAGGCAACAGTGTGCCCGTCCAGTGACAGGTGCTAATATTTGTTCCCGCTCACTCCTGTCATCAATTGAATAGTAAGGCTTTAACAGAGTCTCTTCTCCCACAGTAACAAAGCTCTTTTATTAAGCTCAATTGCAACAATGAGCAGTGCTGCGCCCGAAGCTGAGCTGAAGAGAAGCTGGGCTTTATCCAAGGTCAGAAAATGTGTCAGTCTTGGAGTAAGAGGGAAAAATGGACCTTGGCCAAAATAAAGCCTCAGGGACTTCTTTAGAGAGGCCTGCAGACGCTGTAAAAAGCCCTCAAGAATCCAGCTGACTAGACATTTCTGATGAAGCCTTAGCCCATGCACTGCTACGGCAACTCGGACTTTTGGTATGCTGTGATACCAACACTTGGAATTGCCTAAGCATCAGAATAATCAGTCCTGAGACCTCAAGTTGTTATTTTTATTCTGAAGACCTAGTGGAAGGAAGACAAAGGGCCCGCTAATATTTATGAAGAGATGACTAAAATGCTATGCAAATACACCTGTTGGAAATGAGTACAACTTCTTTGTTCTATTATGTGGTCATTATAGAGGACAGAGAATTTTTTATCATGGTTTTAAAAACATTTTAAATAGAGAAAACAATCAATAATGGCTATAAATGTCATATATTAAGCCATGAAAGTGCTATGGTATTTTTATACATAAAAGGGAGCATTTTCTAAAATGTCTTTTATTCTTCCTACAAGTAGAACGAGGCTATTTCAGCCCACAAAATGAAAATCACAGAACAGAAACCAGAGGCAAAAGGGAAGGAGGGACAGGCATGCTGGGCCAAAAAATAGGAAAACTAATTTTATTCCCTATCCTACTTCCACAGAGATGAATATATTCATAAACAAAATTTCATCTCTTTAAGCTTCGTCTTTTCTATGACAGGGTAAAACTGGGGAGGCTTTTAGATGCTTCATGATTCTAACAATCTATATATATGCAAAATGCAAGAAAAAGTGAACAAAATTCACTAATTCTCCTCTAATTCGGAACTCAGCAAACAATTACCACATAGATTTAAAAATCTGGTATTTATAAATATCTCCCTCAAGAAACATTTAAATATATTTTCCATTTCTAAAAGGTCATCATGACCTTTGATCTTTTCCTGGAACCTGGACTGGAGAAGGGAGGATGCCTTCTTCAGGGTGGATAGGAATGCTGGAGGTGCTGAAAGGCAGGAAGGCAGCAGCTAAGACCACTAACGCCTAGCTGGCACAGAGCTCCTGAACGGAGAAGCAGGGGGACTGCTGACTGTTACTCATTGATCCCACCACTCCTTATCTCAGGACTCTTAGGCAATTCTACTGCCGCTGACGCCACAGGGAACAGCAAACAGACCACAGACCATTAATAAACATGGGAAAATTCACAGTAAGATACTATTTGGTTAGGACTGGCCCATGAAACTCAAGAAACCCATAAGTACTTTCAGGCTCCCATAATGGTTTTAGCTGGATTATAGCAAGTACTGAAGGCTTTTTAAGGCTGCTTAATCTATTGGTTTAAATACCTAATATTCTGGTTTGTGGTGGCTTGATTGGTGAACCATGGAGATGTACTGATTCATTCAGAACTTTTAAAATTCGAGGCTCTCTGGGAATTTACCTAATCAAGACTGTTTTCGTGCATGCTGAGAAAAAGAAGATGCTGACAGTCCTAAATAGTGCCTTTCTCTCTAGGAATTCCAGAAAAGCTCTTGGAAAAGAGCTATTGTTTAAAAACATGGAATAAAACATGTTCATTTGGGTATTTGCAGATAATTAGTTCTCAAGGAGATCCACAAAGACAAAATATGACTGTAACCAAACCCACAGAATAGACCCATTATTCAATGCAGATCCAGAGTTGGCTCACAAGTATTTGCTGGTCAATGTGGCCCTGATGCCATGATGATGGCCTACTTGCTCTAGTAATCTTTGTCTAGGGCTTCCTCTTCTTACCCAAAGTACCTCCTGCTGGTGATACCCGGCCATCTGCTGTTCTGACAAGGTGTGTGATCTTGGTTTTCCTTGCTTTTCTCTTTTGGCTGCCCACCAAAGGTTCTTGCGTTATTGTTGGCTCTGGAGTGTTGGGAATGGACGGGGCATTTTTAACCTTATAAGCAGGCTCTGTGGTGTTTTTTTCTTCTGAAAATATGGCTGAAATAGGACAAACCATATATACAGTTACACACAAAAACACAAAGGACCAACATTGCCCTTGGAAGGAAACATTTCTAACTGTCTGACCCATCTGAATGGAAAATTTACATTCAGAGTTTTCAAAGCTTTGATGGAAAAAGAAATAAAACATTGTCTGTATTTGTTTTTTAATACTTATTTATATTTGCATTGATGAATTAAGTACAAAGGATTAACACGCTCTCTAACAGAACACTGAACCAAGAGGTCATCAGAGTAACGTTTACTAAGTGTTTAGATTTCGCAGGTTCGTGGGGAGGATGATGCATGCAAATCTGAATAATGTCCCAATAAACCAAAAATCCTACATGGGTGGTCTGGGGCCCCTATCTGAGACCCTTGTGGTCAACTGGTCTACAGAGGATGATAAAAAGTTTCTTTTCTTCCGAGAACACTGAGATTAAATATGTGCTTCTTAAATTTACAGGTATGGTTGGAACATTTATTTGCCTTCAGTCACCAGGTTGGGCTGAAAATAGAAATTTTTTGTGAGGTCTGACCTTTTATGCATATTGACTACTCAGCAGTAAGGACAGGACAAACATTGGTGAAGCCAGGATATAAATGAAACTGTCTCCCATTCTCTGATTTCTAGGACAAGGTGAATGTGTTTAGTGAAATAATTTAATGAAGTACCACATGTCAGCAGAGTTCATGGAAAAGTTAGTTTTAGGTATTCTAATTGTAGTATCAGTAAATCATTTAATAGCACACTCTTATATCCTTAGAGTTACTGTGCCAAGGGTAAGAAAAGCATTTGCCACCAAAGACTTTACCCCTGGTTCAAATATCAAAGTTTATTACCGGTTTCAAGGAAAGTGCTTGTGCCTTTTCTTATATATGTATTTCCTAAAGTGCTTCCCTCTACCCTTAATTTAAAAATAAGACGAGGATAGGCAGATGAGTATATTAGGTATTCAGAAGTATATGCATATAGTCTAGTTTTATAATTGAGACTTTTTTTTTTGAATTCTAGGGGTCCAAGGCATTGGGAAAGAAAAAGAAGCACCTTTTCATTTTATCTATCCAAGCTCATAAGACAGGCATGTTGTTATTGTCGTGTGCCATCGAGTTAGTTCGTAACTAACTAGCTCGTAACGACCCTATGCACAACAGAAGGAAACACTGCCCGGTCCTGTGCCATCCTCACAATTGTTGCTATGTTTGAGTCCATTGTTGCAGCCACTGTATCAATCCATCTTGTTGAGGGTCTTCCTCTTTTTCGCTGACTCTCTACTTTACCAAGCATGATGTCCTTCTCCAGGAACTGGTCCCTCCTGATAACACGTCCAAAGTATGTGAGGTGAAGTCTTGCCATTTCACTTCCAAGGAACACTCTGGCTGTATTTCTTCCAAGACAGACTTGTTCATTCTTCTGGCAGTCCACGGTATATTCAATATTCTTCACCAACATCATAATTCAAAGGCATCAATTCTTCTTCAGTCTTCCTGGATTTATTGTCCAGCTTTTGCATATATATAAGGCAACTAAAACACCATGGCCTGAGTCAGATGCACCTTAGTCCTCAGTGACATCTTTGCTTTTCAACACTTTTAAAGGGGTCTTTTGCAGCAGACTTGCCCAATGCAATATGTCATTTGATTTCTTGACTGCTGCTTCCATTGGCGTTGACTGTGGATCCAAGTAAGTAAAATTAAATCCTTGACAACTTCAATATTTTCTCCATTTATTATGATGCTGCTTAGTGGTCCAGTTGTGAAGATTTTTGTTTTCTTTATGTTGAGGTGTCATCCACACTGAAGGCTGCAGTCTTTGTTATTCATGAGTAAGTGCTTCAAGTCCTCTTCACTTTCAGCAAGTAAGGTGTGTTATCTGCATATCGCAGGTTGTTAATGAGTCTTCCTCTAATCCTAATGCCACGTTCTTCATATAATCCAGCTTCTTGGATTATACGCTCAGCATACAGATTGAATAAGTGTGGTAAAAGGATACAACCCTGACACATACCCTTCCTTGTTTTAAACCACGCAGTATGTCCTTGTTCTGTTCGAATGACTGCCTCTTGGTCTATGTATATGTTCTGCATGAGCACAATTAAGTGTTCTGGAATTCCTATTCTTTGCAATGTTATCCATTATTTGTTATGATACACACAGCTGAATGTCTTTGCACAGTCAATAAAACAGAGGTAAACATCTTTCTGGTATTCTCTGCTTTCAGCCATGATCCATCCGACACCAGCAATGATATCCCTCATTGTACATCCTCTTCTGAGTCCAGCTTGTATTTCTGGCAGTTTCTTGTCAATGTACTGCTACAATCGTTTTTTGAATTATCTTCCAAATTTTACTTCTGTGTGATGTTAATGATATTGTTCAATAATTTCTGCATTCTGTTGGATCACCTTTCTTTGGAATGGGCATAAATATGGATATCTTCCAGTTGGCTGGTCAGGTAGCTGTCTTCCAAGTTTCTTGGCATAGACGAGTGAGCATTTCCAGTGCTGCATCAGTTGTTGAAACATCTCAGTTGGTATTTCATCATTCCTGGAGCCTTGTTTTTCAACAATGCCTTCAGTGCAGCTTGGACTTCTTCTTTCAGTATCATCAGTTCTTGATCATCTGTTACCTCCCGAAATGGCTGAACATCGACCAGTTCTTTTTGGTATAGTGACACTGTGTATTCCTGGCATCTTCTTTTAATGCTTCCTGCGTCATTCAGTATTTTACCAGTAGAATCCTTCAAAATGGAAACTTGAGGCTTGAATTTTTTCTTCAGTTCTTTCAGCTTGAGAAATGCCGAGCATGTTCTTCCCTTTTGGTTTTCTAACTCCACGTCTTTGCATATTTCATTATAATACTTTACTTTGTCTTCTCACGTCTCCCTTAGAAATATTCCGTTCAGCTTTTACTTCATCATTTCTTACATTCACTTTAGCTACTCTACATTCAAGAGCAAGTTTCAGCGTCTCTTCTGATATCCATTTTGGTCTTTTCTTCCTTTTCTGTCTTTTTAATGACCGTTTGCTTTCTTCATGTATGATGTCCTTGATGTCATCCCGCAACTCGTCTAGTCTTCGGTCATTAGTGTTCAATGCATCAAATCTATTCTTCAGATGGTCTTCAAATTCAGGTGGGATATACTCAAGGTCATACTTTGGCTCTCATGGACTTGTTTTTATTTTCTTTAGCTTCAACTTGAACCTGCATATGAGTAACTGATGGTCTGTTCTGCAGTTGGCCTCTGGCATTGTTCTGACTGATGATATTGAGCTTTTCCCTCATTTCTTTCCACAGATGCAGTCGATTTGATTCCTGTGTTTTCCATCTTGTGAGGTCCATATGTATAGTTGCCATTTATGTTGTTGAAAAAAGGTATTTGCAATGAATAAGTCATAGGTCGTGCAAAATCCTATCATGGGATCTCCAGCGTCATTTCTATCACCAAGGTCATGTTTTCCAACTACCGATCCTTCTTCTTTGTTTCCAACTTTTGCATTCCAATCACCAGTAATTATCAATACATCTTGATTGCATGTTTGATCAATTTTAGACTGCAGAAGCTGGTAAAAATCTTCAATTTCTTCATCTTTGGCATTAGTGGTTGGTAGTAAATTTGAATAATAGTCATATTAACTGGTCTTCCTTGCAGGCATGGCTATTATGCTATCATTGACAGCAATGTACTTCAGGATAGATGTTGAAATGTTCTTTTTGACAATGAATGTGATGCCATTCCTCTTCAATTTGTCATTCTTGGCATAGTAGGCCATATGATTGTCTGATAATATTGTCATAGGAATCATTTTTTTGACAAAGAAGAGGGTCAGGAAATCAAGGTATGATATGATGAATTTTATGCAAACTAAACCCAGAGGATACCTGAAGGTGCTTATCAGAAAGTGGATCTGAAGGTGGACACTGGAAATTAAACAATATATCAATAACATAGAAAGAAAAGCTAGAATAAGGAGAGAAGAAACAGAAACCAGAACAAGTCAAGGTATGAAAGAATGCCCTTGTTGGAATAAAAACTTATAAAAGCCTCATTTTTTAATTTCTAATCTATATAACTCCCTAATGGGTTGAGGTATATCTGAGAAAAAGGAAGGCCATGAATTCCTAAGATCTTTGCTCTGGAAATCGTAGCCCTTTGTCTTAAAAGATATCTGAAAAGAAGAGGCTGATTACAGACTTTCCATTCCAAAACAAAAGGGAAATAATTTGCATTACATCAAAAAAAAAAGTTATCTACCATGAAGATTTGTGGCTTGGCCTTACCACAATCTTGCATAACATGGCCTTGTAAAGAAAAGCTTAAGACAATAGAGTTGTTCTTAAAAAAAAACAAAAACCAACAACAAAAAAAAACCTATTTGGCAATGCTCCCAAATACATTTTGAAGCAAGTAACCAAAAATCAGGCAAAAGGCTCCTTTTAAATTGTACATTTATACTCAGGTCGAACAGATCTACCTCAATCGTGGACTACTTTTGATATTTATAAATATTTGATATTTGATAAATACTTAGGTATTTAGTCTAACAGCATTTATACTTTGATATGTAGATTAATCGAGGCCAGTGGCAGCATATATCTTAAGTTTTTTTAAATGACTTTTTTTTTCAATAAAAGTTTCCAGTAAAATAAAATTTGGTTAGAAAAACTCAAGAAAAGTTTCATGACTCTAGCCTTAAAATTCAAAGCTTCCTAAAAGTATACTAAAAAACCAAACCCGTTGCCATCGAGTCTATTCCGACTCATAGCCACCCTACAGGACAGAGTAAAACTGCCTCATAAGGTTTCCAAGACTGTAATCTTTATGGAAGCAGACTGCCACATCTTTCTCCCACAGAGCAGCTGGTAGGTTCCAATGCCAACCTTTTGGTTAGCAGCCTAGCACTTGACCACTGTGCCACCAGGGCTCCTCTTAAAAATATAAAGAAGGCAAAATCTGAGTTTACAATGAGCATTAAATAACCTCTATTGCTCAGTCA